CACTGAGCCGTCCATCTCTCCAGCCCAAGAAATCTTTAGGCTGAAAAGAAATGATCCGAACTTCCCACTAGGTTAATTTTCCAGTTTTGTCAAGTTTACTCTAAGGAATGAAAAACACTGGCAATTGTGGGCTAAAGTGACAGAGTCTATAAGTATGTTTTGCTCATTTGTTTGCTAGCTTTACTGAAAAAAATACTACAGTTTCTTCTTTCCAACTCAGAAACAGAAGAATGCACATCCATACTACTGTTTAAAATTGTATTTCAATTGTTAACCAAAGCAGGTAGATGAGAGAGCAAGCAAAATGGTAAGAAATTAAAGGAAGTAAAGCCACCCTGTTTGGAGATGTCACAAAGATACAACCAAAGCTCTTCATAAAACCAATGTAAAAACAAAATGATTTAACTGTGGCACAGGCTATAACATTAATCTGTAAAGACACTTTTACATGCAAACATCAATTAGAAACACAATGAACAAGACCTCATTTAAGATGGTCAGGAGGAAAGTTAGATGCCTATAGATAATGCAAAAATTAATACCTGAACGCTAGTCATAAAGATAATAAAATCGGGGCTAGAGACATGGTTCAGTGGTTAAGAACTCTGGCTGCTCTTGCAGTGGACCCAGGTTCGATTCCCAGCACCACGTGGCAGCTAACAACTGCCCATAACTCCAGTTCCAGGGGATCCAACACCCTCTTCTGATCTCCACGGGCATAGTTTGACATGTGTGCACATGTAGGCAATACACTCATACACATAAATATAAATAATAAACAAAAGGAAAATAATAAAATAAAAAAACACACATGTAGGCAGGATTAAGTTGGAAAACATTACATTCTTTGATATAAATATGTAACATCTAGTTTTCTGCAAGTAATTATACATACATTACATACACACATATATATGTGTGTATGTAATGTATGTATATTAAAATCACAATAAAATTATAATAAGATTTTTCCCAGTTGACAATTTAGTAATATTAATTATAGTCAACAAAGAAGCCAGAAAAGTCTTGGAGAGAAGAATAAAGGGAGCTGGTTATACTAGAAATTAAAATGCAGCACAAAGCAGTTAAGTAGACTAGTAAGGTGTGAATATGAATATGAATAACTAATGTGGGAAACAGAATAGAAAATCCAGAATTTGACTCAACTATATTTAGAAATTTATTATATTGTATGACAACAGTATCTCAAACCAATGAAGAAACTATAAAAAAATAGTTATTTAGAAAAATCTTAGCACCAATTAAGATGACAATAAATTGGGAAATGAAATTTTAATTTTTGTTTGCTTTCTCATCTGTTTTCTTTTGTTAATAATTTTAATAATGAGGACTGGAAAGATGGATTAGTAGTTAAGAGCACTGACTGCTCTTGCAGAGGACTGAGGTTCAATTCCCAGCATCCATGTGGTGGCTAACAATTGTCTGTAACTCCAGTTCCAGGGAATCTGAGGCTGTCTTATGACCTCCATGGGCTTTGCACGACATGGATACACTTACATAGACACAGGCAATACATTCATACACATAAAATAAAAATAATAAATAAATAATATTTAAAAAAAATAATTTCAATAGACTGTTAAGAAATAATGCAAGTATTTAGAATTCTTACTATGTTTCTCAATTTGGAAGAAAAGCTTATAGTATTAAATACTACATAATTATAATTTATGTTTATAAATCCCATTCTCTCTGAAATATCAAAGTTTTGTGCTATTATTTTGAAAAATCGGTAAATTAATGTGCCAAGAATGTATCGTTACTTTCATTTAAGAACCTCAGTGAAGGTCTGGAGAGACCTCTCAGTGCATGTAGGCAAGAGGATTGGAGCTTGAATCCCCAGCATCCAAGTAAATGCCATCCTGGTGTGGTGGCCCCCTTGTAATCCACCACTGAGAAGACAGAGACAGGGGTTCCCCAGAGCAAACTGATTGGCTACACTAGCTAGTTCCGCATGCTCTAACGTCAAGTGAGAGATCCTGCCTCAGTATATAAGGTGGAGAGCCATCCAAGAAGACATCTGACATCAACCTCTGACCTCCGCAGGCATATATACGCATCATACATACACACATACGTCCACACATGTGAATGCACACACACACAATCCACACACACGTACACAAGCAAAAAGAACCTTAGGAAAATGAAATTAGTATGAGAGGATCATTATAGAATTATAACACTAATAAATAATAATAATAATAATAAATAAGGGGGAAATTGTTAGGTAGTTCGTTAGACAACAGTGGACTTGAAGACTATTAGGGATGGACCCCTCCCTCGTAGTCAATAGTAGTAAGATCTGAAACTGCAGGTATCTAATAACTGGCCAGAGGAATGGAATCTGAGCCATTTCTCTGGCCCTGGAGGAGAGTGACATCCTGAAGTAGCCAAAAGGTCACTAAATGGTAACTATCTAAGCCTTGCTTTTACTATCTGGCAGGAGGCTCTCTGATACAGAATAAGGACAGATCCACTGCCCCTTCCTATAAGAGTCAATCCAAATGGGCCTGTCAATCACCTAGACAGGGAAATGCCCCTCAGGAAAGCTGTCTGCTTCAGAGTCTTTAAAAATCGTATAAAACTCGCCTAACAATGTAGACTGACACAATGGTCTCTGGCCATCATCTACTCTTACCCAGTCAGTGCTCTCCTCTGCAATGGCCCTTTGTCTAATGTCATCACTTAGGGATGTACTTTTCTCTACTCTGAAATAAACTCTGTCTTCTATGCTATGTGTGTTTTGTGATCTCCAGGCAGAGGAGATTACAAGGACAGAGGGCTGAAGTGGGGAGGAGGGGTGACCCCAGGGATAGAATGGGAGACTTCAACTATCAATCTTATAAGCCTCATATAATCAATCTAGACAATGATCAAAAGCTTGTAAGTTATCAAACAAAAGAGACCCAGACATTACACACTCTCTGATGGAGGTCACCAACAGTAAAATGATGTTCTTCAACAAACAACTGAAAATCAATAAAATCTCCACATACTACCACTAATATACAGGAAATTTGTGGCATGGAAATGCATGTTAATCTGAATACAATCAGCAAAATCCATAGAGCAAAATTTCCTTTGTTCACCAATAAAAACATAATAATTTATGACAAAATAAAATAGGAAACCCCTATCTGACATTGATATTGGGCTTAGGAGCCTGAGACTAGACTGACTTACTGTTATACCCATAGATTAATGCCTTTCAACTCTCAGCAGAGAAGTGTCCTTATGCAGGAAATGGTGATTAACACGGAAACTCACAGATGGCCAATGTGCAGAGAACAAGGGGCTGCAGAGTGCTGATCCCTGAACAGGACACCTGTATGAAACTTCTGCCTCCCAAAGCTCAGGGATCATTGTGGAAGACTGTAAGAGCCAGAGGTGGTAGATCACCACAGGGAAACAGAGTTTCCCAGACAGCTGGTCAATTACTCATATGAACTCACAGCAATGGTGACAGCATGCACCCGAGCTCAAGCTAAACCAAATTCCAGCATGGATGTGGGGAGATGGGTAAGAAACCCCAACATAACTTAAGGAAGTTTTGGCAACTGATGGCTGCTGGGAGAGACAAAGACAGCCTCTTTCAAGCATGAGACTCTTGGAGGTTAGCCAGGCTCCAGTGGATGAACCCATACTGAAGGACATTAGGAGATAGAAATTAGACTCTGTAGGCCATACATATATGTGGTGTATATTAAGTTGGGTAGGATGCAGTAAAAGGGGGTGCGAATAGGGGAGAGGATCTAAATATCACCAAATTATAATGTATGAAAGTCACAAAAATTCAATTATATATAATAGAATAAGAATGGGGAATTATGATCCTTGTAAAGGGAACTAGAGACCTACCAACATTTTACATTTTGCAGATTTTATTTTTAATATGTGCCTGCATATGTGTGTGTGTCTGTGTGTCCGTGTGTGTGTGTCTGTATGTTGGCCTACAAGTGTCACAGAGTTCATATGGAAGTCAGAGCTATCAATCTTCACTTTCCACCTTGTTTGAAAGAGGGTCTCTTGACTGTCCCACTGTGTTTGCTAAGCTAGCTGGCATATGGGCTTCTGGGGGATTCTGCTGTCTCTACCTCCCATCTCTTCATGGGAATGCTGGGATTACAGACATGTACTACCACGCCCAGCTTTACATGTGTTCTTGGGAATCCTAACTCAGGTCTTCATGTTTGTACAGCAAACACTTTACCCCCAGTTCGTTTTGTGGATCTTATTTGGACCCTGATTCAATATACACTATATTTTTTAATCAGGAAAATTAAATCCAACATTTTATATCGATAAATTGTTGATTTTAGGCTGTGATATTGGCAATGAGATCTTCTTCTTAAAAAAATCTACCTACAGATACTTTACTTCAGATTTGAAAAATAAGTTATTTACCCTTTGATTTCTTTGTATCTGTTGTACCAAATACAAAGAAATCAAAGAAATGTGCAAAATGAGCCTTCAGACTTCTTTCCATAATTCCACTTCATCTTAGAGCTTCAGCACTACCTTCGGGAATATAATAAACAAATAATGCACATGACAGTTTTATTTAAAAGTAAATGACTTACATTTACGGTTAGAAGCAAACTGTTTCAGATCCTCCTGAACCATTTTGATTGCTATTTTATCATCCCGCACCATCTCAGATCCAGCGTTATGTACCAAATAAGAAAGTGTTTAGTTATTTCTTATGACAGGTCTTAAAATCTCTGCATTTGACTCTGCATCCACAATTTCCATCCCTACACAAATGGGCCAACTTCATGTTTATGCCTCATCAATCCATTGACTTCATAGTACATTTTTCTGAGAGGTCATCCCTGCTGTCAGCACGTGCCAAGGTAAAACAGTGTTTGAAGCAGACCTGAACAAATTCAGTCATAAAAAAGCTCTGGACTTGGTTTCAGGCACAATTAATTGGACGGATGTGAGCTGGAAATTAAATTCATGGAAAACAACCTTACCTGATAGGTGGAGGGTACCGGAATGGTTCATGAAACTGAAAATATATTCCGTAAAATCATCCGGGGAAGGCAAGTTTCTTCTCCCCAGGCAAATCCCTTGGAGAGAGAAAGCAATGATGTTGGTGGCCAGCAAAGGAAGCGTCTTTTCATCGGCGCCATCACTGCCCTGTATTCCAGACTTTCTCTGTAGGACCTTGGTTTCCATACACTAAAGCCAAAAACAAAGAGAAGATGCACTGAAAAATAATCACTAGGATTTCCCTGGAGCGTGAGGAATTGTTCATCCGAAAAAAGGTTGGTCTGTGGGAATGGCTGTCTTCATTCTGATTTCAGATGCAACCTGACTTGGAAGGCATTTGATTCCTTCATCTGACATGACACTGAACCTTATAACCCAGTTTTCCAACCTTCCTTGTGACCCTTGTGAAAGAGAAGTTCCCAAAAAGAATTTCTGCACCTTGGACTGCTTCCTGCAAGGCTGACCAACTGATTATCACTCTGTAGAAAGTTTGGAATGTTGCAGGTCCAGAGTCTAATTACCATTTATCTTGGGCCATCTTTAGCCCCCTAAACAGCCACTCCTTACCCACCTCTGTTTCTGATCTAACATCCTGTGACTAACAGATAAAAATCTTTTAGAAGGTATTAATTTAACAGACCACCAGGTCTCACCAATCCAAAAGCTAAGAATGTCATCAGATAGCATCTGGGACCTATAGTAAGAACCCTCCCGCTTTTCTGCGACCTGCCTACTGAATGTATCCTCCAATATATTTGAAAAGTGTCTTGATTTATGACTTTTCTTTGTTCTATTCCTATAAAAATGTAAGACAACTGTTACTATGCAGGAACATGGAATTTGGGGTAGCCTGAATCTGTGTTCCCGGGCCATGGTCACTCACATTTGGCTCCAGAATAAACTATCTCTTATCCCCTTTGAGGTGAGAGTTATGTTTTTGCGTGATACCCTCTTGAAGACATGCTTCTTGCAAGGGGATCTATTGCTCTTAAGGCTTGCATCTTTTGATGGATTCTCTCCCAGCTTTAAGAATACCTGTGCACTAATGTCTTTCAAATCTGCATTCCCAGTCTTGAAGGCACAGGGTTCTGCCATCTTGTATCACCACAGGACATCTGTGATGGCTAACCTCAACTGTCAGTTGGATGAGACCTAGAATCACCTAAGACAGTCTCTGGGCATTGTCTGTGGGGATTATCTTGATTAGGTTAATTGAGATGTGACTGTCATACAAACTCTTCCTTCCTTAAGATGCTTTTGTCAAGGTATTTTGTCACAGCCACAGAAAAGTAACTGAGACAGGATGTCTGCTTCTACTTCAGTGGTGGGTCTCAAGCTCTATGTCTCAATGTGTATTCACTTTAAGCCAACGTTAACACAGTGCTTGTGATCTCTGAACACCTGTAGGACATAGGACATGTGGCCTTTTAAATATGTATATTAATTTTCCCTGATTAAATTATGAACATCCAACAGGCTAGAATTTTGCCTTAAATACCACTATTTCTCTCTCTCTCTCTCTCTCTGTCTCTCTCTCTCTTTCTCTCTCTCTCGTGAAAATACCTGCTTTGTGCCAAGTACTATAAACCCATCACACATGAAGTGGTATGAATTGGTTCATTCAAAGAAAATACAACTAGACATGTCTTAATCCTAGCACTCAGGAGGCAGAGGCAAGCAGGATCTCTCTGAGATTGAAGCCAGCCTGGTCTACACAGTGAGGGCTGCAGGGAGACCCTGTCTCCAAAACAAACAAACAAACAAACAAACAAAAAAGAGGATAAAAGTATAGGTTAGTGTGTCAACGTCCAATTCTTGTGACATCAGAAAAGGAACAAAAACTGCCTATTCAAGTTATTGCTTTTAAAGTCTAGCTGGTAAGAAGCTGGGTGTGGAATCCAGGGCCTTGAACGTGCTTAGAACGTATTCTACTCTGGGTTTCATCTCTAGCAGAGTTGTCAAAATTTTACCAAATTGGGAAAGTAGCAAGAAGCACCACGAGTAAAAAGAACAAGTCCAACTAGTAGCATGAACCTTATAGCAATGTGAGATTTTTCATGGTTGTTAAAAACTGTTATAGTCACGCCTTTAATCCCAGCACTCAGGAGGCAGGGTCAGCCAGATCTCTGGGAGTTCAAGGCCAGTCTGGTCTACATAGTGAGTTCCAGGACAGCTGGGGCTATAGGGAAACCCTGTCTCAAAAAGACAAAAAAAAAAAAAAAAAAAAAAAAAAAAAAAAAAAAACAACAAAAAACAAACAAACAAAAAGTTATAGTCACAAGGTGTTATTTAGGATAAGGAAGAATTCCAGCCATTCTTCACCACTGAAGTTCTTAGAGTATAGCCAACGCCCATTCCATGAAAGGATGAGCTATGGTATATATGCACCATATGTAACACATATGTACATATATGTGTGTAAAAGAATACATGTGCCTTTGCCATAGGCACAGCAAAAAGCACTGAATAGGTGGGAGCACTGGGGATTGACTGGGAGATGAAACATGGGCATGAAAGAAAGGGGTGGGGTTCATATTCTGAGCTTGGAGTGTGACTAGATGAGGGTACGAAGATGTAAGGCCACTTCCAGAGTTGTTGGGGCCTGTCTGGAATGGTGACTGAGGACCTGGCCTATGGAAGCTTTGCAGACCAAGGGCTGAGAATGCAAGGGGTAGGCTGGTGTGCAGCTCTTATCTATCTAGGGCAGCTTACAGTGAGGTGTCAACAGCCCTCTGCCAAATCTGAACTGACTTCCTAGGGAATCTTCAGTAAATGGGCTTCAGGGCCCTTCCAGGAGCCACAGACACTGTTATCTCAGGGAGATCTCTGCCCTAAAGCCTAGAAAAGGCCTGTTTTAGTAGCCTAATTCTTGTTAAGTAAATAGATAATAAAAGCAGTTCTCTTTTTCTCTGGGTGTAGGCTGTTTGTGGGTTTCTGTGTTAATCATTATCTGTTGTATAAGGAAGCTTCTTTGGTGAGAGTTGTGACTGCATTAATCCATGGGTATAACAGTAAATCATTAAGATTTAGCTTAATACAATGACTATTTAGCAGAAAACTGGTATTAGGTTCTCCCCTATGTCCTGTGACCTGTCTAGCTTCAGGTTCTTAAGCCCGATATCAACGTCTGGTATGGGTACCAACATGCAGAGAACAAGAGGCTACAGGGTGCTTATCCCTGAATAGCACACCTAGATAAAAAATTCTGCCTCCCAAGGTTCCAGGATTATTGTGGAAGAGGGGGTGGAAAGATTGTAAGAGCCAGAAGTGAGAGATGAGCACAAGGAAACAGAGTTTTCCAGACAGCTAGCCAGTTACTCATATGATTTCACAACAATGCATACAAGCCCTAAGCAAGCTCAAACCAGAAAAAAAAAAATGAGCATAGGCATGAAAAAGTGGGTAAGAAACTCCAGCCCCACCTAAGGAAATTGTGGCAGCCCATGGTTCCAGGGAGGGACAGAGACGTCTCTTTCAAGCTCGGAACTCTTGGTAGGTTAACCAGGATCCAGTGGATGGACCCACACCAAGGGACGTTTGGAGACACAAATTAGACTCTATAGACACTATTATGTATATAACGGAGTACATTACATCAAACAATAACAATAAGGGGAGGTGGGGACAGGTGAGGGAATCTGAATACCATCAAGCTATATAACATGAAAATTGCAAAATTTCAATTAAAAAAAAAGGCAGTTCTCACAAACCATAATTTGGTTCCCTGATAAGAAGTTTGACCTTACAAGCACTGCAAAGCCTGGACACTGGCCAGTCATATGTGGAGGAAAACCAGAAGCCTGCCATTGCACACCATCTGCCATTAGGGATTAGATTATTTCCATTTAGTTTCTGTCAAAAGGCAGTAAATGGGTAGGATGCCTAAAATCCTGGTGGGTAATTCAAACCAATCTCATGTTATAAAGAAATTGCAGTGACGTTGCAGTGAAGACATTGCATACAAGGACACCTCCTGGTGTAAGCAGAAAACTGAATTCTACCAAGGGACCTGTTCATACACTGAAAGCAGGAACAAGGACGGGGCCTGAGGCTGGGTTCATGGAATTAGAACTACTGTGAGGCTGCTTGCAGAGTCCTTAGTACACGCTCTTCATTAATAAGAAATATTAAGCACATTTACAGAAAATTGGGGAAGGTGTTTGCTGGTTAAGCCAGAGCATGGCCACAGATACCTTTGTCCCTCAGAAACCAGAATTGAGACTACGAATTAAATTTGTTTTTACAGATCAGTGGGTAATTTTTTAAAATCACAGTTGTTTCATAAACAATTTTCATGACTCTTCAAAATGTAGTTGGCTCCTCAAAGAACTGTTGTAGGAAATAAGACTTAAATAAGCTTTACGGGGTGGGGGCACAGCTCAGTGGTTGAGTGCTTGCCTAACGTACACACAGCCCTGGGTTCAATCCCCAATATCGCAATAATGATGATGACAATTTGTATGTCAAATTGTATATAGATGTGTGTGCATATGTGCGTGCGCCTGTACATCTGCATGTGGAGGCAGAGGACAATGTCAGGCATCTTTCTCTAACACTCTCCATCTTATTATTCGAGACAGTGACTCTCACTAAACCTGGAACTCGCCTGTTTGTCTATACTGGCTGGCTACAAGCCCCAAGGATCTGCCTTTCTTCGATCCTCCTTCAGTCCAGTATTGGAGTTACAGACATGTCCTGGCTTTTAAAAGGTTTTATTTACCTCTTTTTCATGTGTATGAGTGTGTTTGCTTAAATGCATGCACATGGATCACATGTAAGCACTGAAGGCCAGAAGAGGGCATCAGAATCCGTGGAACCAGAGTTACAGGCAGTTGTGAGCCACCACGTGGATGCTGGGAACTGAACCCAGATCCTCTGCAAGAGCAGTGAGTGCTCTTAACCACTGAGATGTCTCTCCAGTCCTGTGCCTGGCTGTCCGTGGGTGCTAGGGATCCAAATGCAGGTCTTCATGCTTGTGCTGCAAGCACTTCACCCACTCAGCCATATCCTCAGCCCCAGATGATGATGATAATGAACTTTATGTGCATATACCTTTATCTGTTGAAACTTCCCATTGCAAACCAGGAAAGAAAAGTGTGCTTGAAAAGCCAGGTTTCCTAGAAGAGTGATGAGAGCAACCCAAGAACAGGCACCGTGTTCCTCAGTGTGGGCGCTGGGGAAACGAGAAGCCTATGAATGGACCCAGCACAAGCAGCAAGAATGCTCATCCTCAAAGGGGCCGCTGCTGTGTCTTACTTAACTGCTGTAAAAAAATTCTTTATACAATCTAGTTTTTCAGTGAAATGGCAAATGATACATTTGTTTCTCAAAGTGTTCCTGCCTTCGTCCCTGGCCAGAAGGCAAGGCAAATAGACTCATGGTCTTCCAATACAGTTCAGTTCTTGGCAAAGGAGCAAAAACTTTGAGTCACAAATCTTTAGTTCTTCAGTTATTCAGGGAAAGAGAGCTGTCCTGTCACCTGGCCTGCCTGTCCACCCACCCACCCAGCTTCTGGTGGGAAGTCATCTTCTAATTACCCATTCCATTTCCTCTTAGAATTTTAAATGATGTCACTACCATCCCACAGCTAAAAACCAGAAATACCTTTCTCTTTCTTCAGAGTTCTCCAATATTACAGGAATAAGTGACAAAGTAGGGTCAATTCCATATCTTAGTAACAGCATCAGTTAGCAAGTCTGCCCTTCTTACCTGGCTCTTAGAAGTGTCAAAGTACCGCCTGGTGAAAGCCAAGATATCTTCAGTCTCATTCTCTGAAAGGAAGTAGGAGTCTTCATCCTGCCTGAGGCCCAGGAGGCTACGCAGGTAAAATGTATACTCTCTATTGCTCATGTTGAGCTTTTTAGAACAGATCTCTTCTCGGTGAATAATGTAGTAGAGGAGGAGAAGAGAAACTCTCTGGACCACCTCCTCTCTAGACTGATCTTCCAAATCTTCCCCTACTATGAGTGACACAGCATCTGGTTCCAAGCACTGTGGAAGGGGACGGAGGAGGGAGAAAGAAAAAGGATGCTTAGAAAATTCAACACATAGCTCAGGAACAAAGCAAAATTCAACACATAGCTCAGGAACAGTGCTTAAACTTTGTGAACGCAAGAAGTAGTCTGTCCTGTCAGCTATGTTCAGGTAGGTAAGGGAGTAAGTCACAGTGAGACATGTTTAGGACCATCATGTCCTCTGAGGGACCTTTTTCTGCAAGTGCGGCCCCCTCATTCACACCTATAGCTAAGACAAGATGTTGATTTGCTTGGTTGCATAAAACCTGCCAACTAGCTGGCTTTTAACATGCTGTCCCATTCCCTATAGCATTCAGTCCAAACTCTACAATTTTCTCCTTGTTCTAACCCCAGTCTTATACTACCCTACCTACCCTCTTTCAGTCATCTCACTAAATTTTGGTCTCTGTGACTCTTTTTCTTGATTGTTCTACCAAGCTCTTTTCCAGTGCCTTATAGGTCTCCTGATTCCCCTCATTTCTCAGGTCTCAAAGTGGACTCCTCAGGAGGGCATTCTTGAATTCTCAGCCTGAGAAGTCCATCAAGTTGTTATATAGAAATAAAGCTGGCGTGGTGGCGCATACCTTTGTCCCAGCACTTGGGAGGCAGAGGCAGGCAGATCTCTGTGAGTTTAAGGTCAGCCTTGTCTACACATAATGAGTTCCAGGCCAGCTGGGGCTGCAGGGAGACCTTGTCTCAAAAAAAAAAAAAAAAAAGAAAAAAGAAACAAGCATATCAAGAAACAGCAGGCAAAGCACGTATGTCTTTGAAATTTTCCTCAAAAGTGAAAATAAACATTTTAATATTTTTACATATCCAGGAAACAATAACTTAAGCACAGAATCAAAGATTTAAAGAATGACTAGGATACATTATGTCCTTTTTGTCAGACTAAGTCCTTGAACATCTCACTTCTAACAAGTCACATATCCAGTGTCTAACAGTCATGTGGCTGTAGCTGCTGAGTTGGACAGCATGTCACTAGGACATACCACAATTGTATTTTCTTCATGGCATTATATTATAAAATTATTTTGTTGACTTGTGTATTCTCTCCACAATAACAAGTGGTCATTAGGTCAAGCTTCATCTATTTTGTGCAAGTCTCACCCTCAGCAAACAGCACAAAACCTAGTGCTTAAGAGGAATTAAAAAATCAGGGAGTGAGCAGTCTCTGACAATTTTCTGTTCTTACTTAAAAGAACTGTCAGGGCTGGAGAGATGGCTCAGTGGTTAAGAACACTGGTTGTTCTTGCAGAAGACCCAGATTCGAATCCCAGCACCCACATGGCAGCTAACAACTGTCTGTAACTCCAGTTCCAGGGGATCCGACAGCCTCTTCTGTCCTCCGTGAGCATCACACGACACGGATGCATTTACCTACACACAGGCAATACAATAAAAAAAAAAAAGAACTGTCAAAATGTTTACACTAAAGGAATCGGCACATTCCACCCCAAAATGTATCACTTTATGAGCTGACAATGTTGAGTTAAAAGCAACTGAAAAGCAGTATGTGTGGAGGCCTCGCTGCTTTCTCCCTTTCTTCTTAAAAGCAGGGAAATTTCTTCCTAAAACTTCTGTTGAGAAGAGTGTCCCTTGTGTGTCAAGAAGGAGACATTCATTACTTTTATATATTTTATTTGTTGTTTTTATTTTATGTGTATGAGTGCATTGCCTGCATGTAAGTAACTCCACCCAAGTCACGCAGTGCTCACAAAGGTCAGAAGAGGGTGTCAGATCCCTTGGAACTGAAATTATGGAAAGTTATTAGTCACCATGTGGGTGTTGGGAATCGAGACTGGGTCCTCTGCAAATGCAGCCAGTGCTCTTAACTGCAGACCCATCACTCCAGCCCGACATTCTTTTTTTGTTTTTTTAATATTTTATTTAGCTGAATGTGGTGGTTCATGCCTCTAATCCCAGCACTCAGGAGGCAGAGGCAGGTGGATCTCTGTGAGTTCAAGGTCAGCCTGGTCTATATATGAAGTTCAGGCCAGCTGGAGCTATAGGGAGACCCTGTCTCAAAAACACCAAAAAAAGTAAAGAAATGAATAATTTATTATTTTTAATTTATGTGTATGAGTGTATTGCTGCACATATGTGAGTGTACCTGTGTCATGCAATGCCTAGGATGTCAGAAGAGGGCATCAGACTTCCCTGGAGCTGGAGTTAAGAACAGTTTGTAGCTGCCATGTGGGTGTTGAAAATCAAACCCAGATCCTCTGAGAGAGTATTCAGTGCTCTTAACCACTAAGCCATCTCTCCAGCCAACTTTTTTTAAAAAGATGCATTTAATTTTATTTTATGAGTGTTTTGCTTGCATGTATGTGTGCTACATGTGTGCAGTGCCTGAGGATGCCAGAAGAGGGCATCAGATCCTCGGAACCAGAGTTACAGGTGCTGTGGGTCACCATGTGGATGCTGGAACCAAACCTGGGTCCTCTGTTAGAGCAGCCAGTATTCTTAACCACTGAAGCATCTCTCCAATTCCAAGAAAACATTCTTATCCCAGGGAATTGATTAAATTCTATTAACCTATACAAATGTTACTGAAACAACCCCTACCTATTGGTTCTCCTACATAGTTCCTAGTCACTTCCCATAATTCACCACCCCTATGTCATTTCTCCATCTTCTCATCACATCTCCACTTTATTGGGTTTGGTTAAATGGTGTATATGATCCATTTCTTTGCCCTATAAAAATATTACTATAAATAAAACCTGCAGGCTTTGGCACCTGTTAATCTGTCTTTTGTCAGGTAAAGTCACTGGATCTAGTCTTGGAAGCTTAAAGGCTAGAAGGAAAGATTCCCCCACCCCCAAACACTGATGTTTGTTCCATAAGCCACAGATAGATGTGGATCCTCTAATTTGAGAGGTTCATATGATATAAGGTGTTCAAAGCAACGTTGTAGGACAGGCAGTGAGGAAACAGAGACACAGGAATTGTGAATGGGAAGTTTTCCTAGCAAGCGAGAAGCTACTCTTCTTTGAGGCAGGTGGGGAATTCTCAAAGTATCTGAGAAGTGGCTCTGTTACCAGCAACAGCCTCAGAATGAAGAGTCAAGGAATGTCTGTCTTGGGTCTCAGGGAGATTTGCCCAACTGTGGGGATAATTACTACACTATCTTTTAATATGTTCTCTGGGGTCTAAGTTTGGGGATGTTGTAACAACATGACGGCCATGCAACACACTGGGTAACACCTGGCACAGGCCACATGCATCAGAAAGAAACGAAAGTATCCACTTGCAAAGCAACACATGATGCTATCCTTACCAAAGCCATACCCTTTCCAACTCAACTTCTGGGGACACAGAGTTCATGTGACAACCAACATCAACCATGCATATTGAGCTCCATGTGAAGTAGCCCCTCCCCACAGTGCACCCAACTGGTAGCTTTTGACAAGACTGACACCAAGACAAAAGAGGTGGGTCAGTTGAAAGCAGCATGTGAGAAGTCATTCTGGGTACCAAACGACCTTCTGAGATCATACTACTGATAGTATTACCTGTGATTTACTGCCAACATCGTACCTGGAACTGTGCCAGGCGCCAAAGTACTCAGGTGTTCCTCAGAATATAATCCAGGCAATGTTAGAAAATATTTAGCATAATCATTTTTCGATGGTGGAAATTACACCCTATTCTTTTAAAAGAAAAAAATATTCTCAATCTCTGTAGTAATATACCAAATATATCAACATAATATAAAGCATTTAGAATGCCAATAATTCAGTTGTTTAATATCTAATAAATTAGTAGATACCTATGTATACCGTATGCAAAAGTATTGAACAGACTCAAATAGGAACTATAATTTCTCTTCCCTGAAAAATGTTTACCCACAGAATATTATAACAGACTCTAAGAAAGGGTAAGTCACTTGCTCAGAGCCACAGTGCTAGTGGTGGTTAGTTGTGTAAGTCTTAAATCCTGCTTACCAATGATAAACCCTATTCTCATATTCTTTTAATTTGTACGTTGTGCCACGGAAAGCTAATCAATGGATACCTTCATGTCCTTGATGTAGAGCCCCTTTGACAAATCATTTTCTGTCCTTCCTGTTTGGTAGGAAGAGCAGCCAATAGGTAGGCAAGAGGGTTACTAAGACTCAGCACCGGTAAGAATAGGAATGAGATCAACTAGGGGGTTGAACAAGCACATCAATATACAGTTGTCTTGTTGGGGTGGGTCAGCAGAAAGAAGATGGTCAACAACACTGGGGCGAGGAAACTCATGAGGTCACTGTGCCATATACGGATAGCCAGGGTTTGGCCAATAGGCACCCAGGAGTATAAAGAGGCACCCTCTATACCATCCACAGTACCTCACACTCCTGTTCGTTCCTGGTTGCTCTGTAATGTTTAATACAGGCTATGTAGCATGGGACAGCAGAGAACAGATATGCACCATAACTGCACAGACAGGCATTCCAGGACGGGTTAAAACAACACATACAATGTGGAATATAGAATTATTTTCTTTCTGACTTTAAAAAGTTTAAAGCAGTTACAGGCACATTTCAGTTTATGTGACTAGATTTCAGTCACACCAAATAGGTATCCCTAGCTTCTGCTTTGATTGATGGAGGCCTGTTGAAATAAGGCCTATGAATGAAAAGACCATGGGTCTGAAAACTGCTTCTTTCTGCATTTTAACCTGAGAGACGCTACAGAAGGTGGTGCTCTGAGGAAAGAAACGTGTAGGAAGTGTCAGAAGTGAGAAAACTGAATTTTTCTCCTGGGAAAATGGGGCCGGTGATGGGGAGAGGAACAGAAGACCCAATTCATCACCACCAGGCTTCGTTTTGTGGATGAAGTAGTTAGCAGTTGGCACAATTGTGTAGGAAGGATGTTTAGAAAAACTTTACCACCACTGCCACCTCATAGGCATCAAAGTCTACCCAAGGCTACTCACGCTGGTGAAATGATTCTTTGTTAATGGAGAATGGACTCATTCAGGAATAACCCACTAATTTCCCTTTATGTCTTGTCAGGTGGAAGTGTGGGGCTTAAAGAGAAAGAAATAAATTCAGAGAATCTGAAAAACTCCACAAGAAAATAAAGTTGGGGGAAAGATTAACTAAACTTTAAGAAGGGTCTCTCCTAGCTGGGTTTGGTTGTGCACACCTTTAATTCCAGCACTCAGGAGTCAGAGGTAGGCTGTGAGGTAGAGGTCAGCCTGGGATGGTCTACATAGTGAATTCCAGGACAGCTGGGGATACATTTGTGATACCGAGTCTCAGAGTCTCAACAAAACAGAACAACAGCAACAGAAAGTAGGAGGAGGACGAAGAGGAGGAAGCTGTGTTGGAAGGGCTCTCCCTACAGGCTAAATGGTAAATTAATTGGTGGTAACTGTCCATCATCCCCTGAAGCCAAATCAGATTGCCTCGTTCAACTGTGTAGTTCAACTTTGTGTCAGGAGAGAGCTATAATCGCAAAGTAGTGGGAAGGCTTTCTTCATCTATGTCAGACACTGAGATAAGCCAGACTCACAAACTGACAAATACCACATTTATATCATATCGCCTCTTGTATAGGAATCTCTGTCTCTGTCTCACTCTCTCTCTCTCTGCGTGTGTGTGTGTGTGTGTGTGTGTGTGTGTGTGTGTGTGAGACATGTATGTATGTACAGATGACAGGAAAGTAGAAGGGACTGTTTGGGAAAGGGTAGGTGACTAGTGGACTAGTAGGAGCAGGGAGACTAGAGAGGGTACTGGAGGGTCAATATGGTCAATATACATGATGTCCTGAAATGATCATGTCTTTATGAAACTCATGTCATACCATGGTATGAATATATATCAATAAAAAGACAGTTGTTACATGCAAGAAAACTTTAGAAATTTTAGCCCCTTAAAATGTTTGAAATTTGTTTTAGAATCAATGGTAAATGTACTATGCTTTTAAATCCTTAGATTTCATTTTGTTTTAATTTTTAATGTATATTTTTATTGAATTTTTGTGCATTTCATACAAAACATCTTAATCATCTTTATACCCCCTCCCCCATCTGCATTCCCCCCCAGCCCTCCTATAAGATTTCAAGCACTCTGTCATATATAGTATCTATTTGAATGGATAATAATCATAATGTTTAAGAAGGAAATTATATTTCTTCCTTCTTTTAGACAACAAGTTCTTAGACAAAGATGTTGGCAGGTGGAAGGTCTGCACTAGAGTCTATAGCTTTTCTAATAAGTGTAAGCCTTAAATGAATACGCTCAGATAAACTTGGTAGATACATGCATGAAGGTTATGGCATATGATTCAGAGTCGGGATCAGGTGTGAACTAAAAGCCGTACTTTCAAATATTGGTCCCCAGCCTTGAAAGTGTCTGAGAGTTGCCTGGCAAACTTGGTTAAAATACCAAGCATGAGAGACAGATGAGAGGGAACTTCTGGGACAGGTAGGGTGAGGGTTTCTGAGGATGTCACTGATCCAAGAAAAGAATTTTCTGCCTCAAAAAGGAGGGCAGGAAAAGGAATGACGGTATTGTGAGCTCCCATGCCCCAGCACGTGCATCTATATCCCTGTGGTCCCATAGAGATGGTTCTGAGGAGACTCATTCCTTGGTCTGTGGATGAGGAAATGAGAGACAGTGTCTTTACAGCTAGAAGGTTCCAGAGCAGGGCTCTTTCCCTTCAGGACCTAATCTAGAGACATGATTCTCACCATAAGCAAAGTGAAGTTTATTTGTGGGGGGACTTAATCCCTCTTGAAATCCATTAAAATCCCATTCTAGGGGCTCTGAATATAATGCAGTGTCAGAGCCCTTGTCTAGCATGCATGAGACTCTAGGTTCAATTTTCAATAGTAAGAAAATCTAAGTATTCTTGTTTAAAAAAATAAGAGAAAGCCAGATCAATTGTGAAATGCAAACTGTCTATTCTCAGAAGCCTGACTGTTTGAATGGATTTATTTTTAAATGCCTAATGTTTCAGATCTTATTTATATTTATGTGTATGAGTGTTTGATCTGCATGTAAGTGCACCCACGCAAGCAATTCCCACGGAGGCCAGAAGAGGGAGTTTGATCCCTAGAACTAGTGTTACAGGCAGTCATTAGGTTCCATGTGGGTGCTAGGAACCAACCCTGGGTCCTCTGAAGAGCAGCCAGTGCTTTTAACTGCTGAGCCATCTCTCCAGCCCTTCAATCTCATTTTTACCTCGCCTAAAATATTTTCCTCCCCACAAATTCAGCAGAGTCCCCTCCGTCTTCTTCCCTCAAGACACTGAGAGATACGAATGCACTCTCTTGCTCTCTTTTCACCACAGAATGTCTAACATGAACCTCTCCCATCAGCAATATGTCTAAAATGACTAAAGAATCTCAATAGTAAGCCAAGGCTGTGGTGTGGGCCAGAACCCAAGTGTGTGTGACGTTTGAAAACTGTTCCCATTGGCTTGTCAAGAGTGACAAGGAGACATTTATTGGGCTCCTCATAGAAGGGAAGATTCAGGGGTATCAAGCTCTTGCTGCTGAAAATCACCTTCCCGTCTCCTCAGGTTCTTTCAAAGAGGAAGAGAAAGGGAAGCCACGAGCAGGCAACACTATTATACTGAGCATTTCAAAGCCTGGAAATAGGAATAATTCAAGTGGAAGCAAAATTGGCCACACTCTTGATAATGTCACAGAAAGCAGTAAGCATAAGAGCAGCCTCTCCCTTCCCAGCCCCAAACATGGAGAGCCATTTCCCTGTTTACATTCACTGAGCAAAACTAATATTCAGCCAGCCTTAATAAGGCACTTCATGTCATTAAAGGAGAACATGGCCCTGGAACAGATTCTCAGAGGACATTAATAAGATATGACTCCTGGTTATTTCCAGTGGGATGTCTGCTGTTGCTATCCATATCTATTAATGTCATCACAGAAGAGCTGCCTATTATAACACATTTCCTCTGGGAACCATTGGGCATTTTAATAATTACAGAATTATTTATCATTCACAAAGAGCAGAGACAAATTCTATGTGCAAGACCTCATCCGTCATGAGAGAGATGAAGAAAACAGAAAATGATTGCCAGGACACGTTCCCCCACCCTATTCCAGAACTCTGCATGACTGAGAAAGTCAGCCAAAATTTATTTTGGAAGAGGTTATGTGCTTCTGTTTTATTTATTTATATTTTCGTTTATCTAAGTATTTGTAGGTTTTTTTCCTTAAATGTCTGGAATGGGATTACAAAGAGGGATTTTGTGATTTTGTTGGCGGTTGTTTTGAAACACAGACTCTCCCCTCTCGTCGTGGAGCCCTATTGACCTTCTCCCATGACAACCAAATGCCCTAATGTGGGTGGGAATTCTCAGTCCCCTCTGACTTCATGGTAAACAACCTGGAGGGGGTATTAAAAATTCCATTACAGGCAAGTTGAGTCTCAGGTGAGGATGAAGCCCCAACATGGGAATTTGATGAGACAAACCTGCCTGACTCTGGTATGTAGGCAGGGCAGGGTTCACTTTGTAGGCTAGAAGGAAGGCTGCAGGGGAGGCTGTGGAATGGGCCTCAGGGGCCATGGGTTCAGTTTTGGCTTTAAATGCAGCATTTCTCTCCTCCAGCTCCCATGCCTCGCTGCTAATAATTATCCAACCATTAATCACCAGCTGTTCCAAATCTTAGAAAGCACTGACTGACACCTAGGAGAACGCCTTCAGGAACAGAATGTTAATCAAATAGCAGAAAGCTATGATTGTCCTACAGAAGAAAGGCAGCGTCTAACTAATATCATGCACAGTCACTGCAGGCTTTAAACAAATAAAGATTAGAAAAGCAGAAAGCGGAAAGGCCGGAACACTCAGTACCCCGAAAGAAGCAGAAAGGTCTGGAAAGCTTAAATATTATCCTTCCAATGAAAATCAGTTCCTTGTCTGGAAGCCCTAGCTGCAGAATGCTGAATGGTTGGTTACATCTCAGATAAAGAAACTGTCATGGCACGCTGATAGTTATCTACTTGGGTGCTGACACATCTGTGTGTCGTTTCACTGTGATGAAATCGATCCTGCGGTCCCTTGCCCCCTTTTGAGCACATCTTGGCACCCGATCCCGTTGTCTTTCACTAACCAGCTTGCAGTCCCCTTGCATTCCATTTGCTCTCCGTGGGCACCCGGTCTTCTCCAACAGAGTTTTGATGAGGCTTTGTGAATGGTTGAGGGGTGGGCGGTCACTAGCAGAGAGGACCCTCAGGACTTCTGCCAGCTGGCCCTGACTCCCAGTGCTGCTGTCTTCCTGACTGGAGGGCTTGTCTGTCTCAGTAGAGGACCCAAGGCTGAGGAGACAGAACAGTAGCACCAAAAATACTGAGACCTTTGTCCAGAAGCACATTTCCACTCTTCCTTTACCTTGACTCCGTCTCAGATGGGGATGGGTAGATGGCCAGTTGCAGAATAAACTTGTAGCCAGAGGAATTTCTGTGGTAGAGGGGGAAAATAAGGGCTTTGATTACTGTGCCTGCAACATATTTGAAAGGACTCACTGATTGGGTGACTAAGCCGATTTGCAATGGCAACAACAGGGGGTCTGCATGTTTTCTGTACCCTCAAAGGACACAGGGAACTTCCCAACTCACAGCAGCCAGGAAGCTGTTCCTGCACTAAACACCTGAAGAGAAGTACATTTCTCCTTTGTAGACAGGGCTGGTAAATAGGACCCAGGAGGGGCAAGGCCTGCCTCTTTGCTGTAAAGAACTCCACATGATCCTTATCACTATGCTAAGTGAAGAAAGTTAAAGAGAAAATAACTTCTAATAAATTACCCATATAATGTTGAATTAGAAAGCTTTCAACAAGTCAATATACTGAAAAATTAAGTGAGATTTAGGAAACCTAAGTCATTTCTCAGCTTGGTATAAATCAAGATTCTGGAGGATGAAAAGCATTTTAAGACCCCACAAAACTACCAACTACACACTCAATGGTCCCTGAAAGGAAGGAGATAACGAGAATCAATCAGAAGTTCTGGAGGAAAAAATCCTCCTCGATTGATTGTTTAAGGAATGCAAAATGTTAAAGGCATCTCTTGTTGGATCCTGATCCAGAGATGAAGCAGTAATGACCTTACCAGTGATAATAAGATCTGGGATTAGTTTTGTGGTTTGAAAAAAAAAAAAAGAGTTTCAGATTCTGACTTTAACATTTTAAAAAATGAGAGAGGGCGACACAAATTTTTCTAAACCCAGTACTCACCTTAAGAGAAGTGATTATTCATCCGAGCTCCACCGGCCTTTAAGTCTCTGGGAGTATTTTGTGGTTTCAAAGTTCTCTGTTTTTAAAATTCCTTGACTGTGCGCTGGGAGTGAGAGAGGATTATTCCAGCCCGGAGAAGTTTCTAGTTGCTATGGAGAAGGCTGCTCTGAAGGTAAAAATGAAGGTGGATAAAAATAGAGTTTCTGTCTGACAGATTTTCAGGATAATCAAATAAATGCGGTTAAAGATTTAGTCTTTTCTATCAATATTTAGCAAACTATTTTGGAATTGTCTACAGTCATTTGCCTTTCAAGGGATAGAACCTGGGTCAAAAAAAATTCCACTTTGCAGAGTGGAAGACATTAGCATTAAATCAAGGCTTTTTTCTTCCCAGCTGATGACTGGTTCACTCAGACTTAAACCAAAGATTTGTCCAAAAGATAGTTTCTTTAAAACCTTGTTTCACAAATTCAAAAGTTTATTAGATTTAAGGATTTCATAAAAAGTTGTTTTAATAAAAAGTACTTATTGAAGGAATAAATTTCTTGCCTGAAAAGTAGTTGTAAATGGGAAAATTTTATTAGCTGAATAGATTATGATCCCCAGGTTCTGTGGTGTACTTTTGTACACTGGACACTTGGGGCCCCGCTAATGCAGCCTCTCAGTACATTGCTAGTGAATAAAGTACAAAGTGGCTTTAAGAACAAAAATTTGGGGCTGGAAAGATGGCTCAGTGGTTAAGAACACTGGTTGTTCTTACAGAAGACCCAGGTTTGAATCCCAGCACCCACATGGCAGCTAACAACTGTCTGTAACTCCAGTCCCAGGGGATCCGACAGCCTCTTCTGACCTCCATGGGCATTGCACAACATGAGTGCACTTATCTACATGTGGGCAATAAATGCATACACATAAAGTAAAAACAATAAATAAAAAAAGAACAAAAATTTATAAGTGGCAAGAGAAGTTAAAACCTAAGATTTGAAAGTGAACAGAAGATATTCAAATAGACTGCAGAAGAACCTAGCATGATTCCTCGAGACCATCAAGTTCAAGTCTATGTGTATACATTTGGAGATTGGCTAGTGGTAGGGTAAACTATGAGAGAAAGAACTGGGAGTGTCAACAATCACTTATCAAATCTGAAAATTGCAAACAACAGGATAGATAATCCCAGAATGTTGGCTGTAGCGATAAACATTTGGAAGGCAAATATTTCCAGAAAACACCAGGGTTCTCTTGAACCATCCATCATGTACTCAGATTTATCTTAAATGTCAAGGGAAGGGACTTGGCCTTTTTCTCATGAGTGCTGTGGTGATATTAACTAGAGTTAGCCTAGAAATCATCAAAGAAGCAAGGAGTTTTTCCAACGTTAAGACCTTTAAGCTGGGGGTCCAGCAGGGGCTGAGAGGTGGGGAGGGCATTGGGCCAAAATTGCCTCTCATCACCCTGACTGCTTCTCCAGTGTGGATCACCTGAACATCATGTCAAGGTTTTGCCCTACCAAGTCTCAAAGACTTGGTCAGAAGATTACTAAAGAAAAGTAGTCCACTGCTTATGCACCAAAGGTGCTAGTCCTTATAGCTGTGAATACCTGCTTTGCAAATCTCACTCCTGGTCCAGCTCAATCATGTAACTCCCATAGCATAACTTGGCCTGGTGCTCCAAGCCTAGATTCTGATTTGCTCTGACCAGTACCCTCAGGACCATGGCCTTGGGCCACTGTGGCCTGCTTCCCAATTCCTTTATGCCAGTGTCCAGCATGAAAGTCTTACATGATCCCTGATTCTCTCAGGGCTATACTTAAACCTTTCATGTTCATCTACCTGCTTACCTGACAAAGCTCAAGTTACTTTCTTAAATGTGTTTCTATCTTCAATCCAAACCAACTTCCAGGAAGAGTGAATTTCATGTGCTCAGCAACTGTGTTCAGAAGGATTACTTTAAAAAATATTTTATTTATTATTTTATTTTATGTGTGTGAGTATATTGCCTGCAGGTATGTAAGTGCACCTGTGTCATTCAATTCCTGCAGAAGTCAGAAGAGGGCATCAGGTCCCCTGGAATTGGAGTTACAGATGGTTGTTAGCTGCCATGTGGGTGCTGGGAACTGAACCCAGGTCCTCTGCAAAATTAGCCAGTGCTCTTAACCATGGAGCCATCACTCTAGCCCCAGAGACAATTAATTTTTGATTGACATATGTGAGCTGTGTGGTCCACAACTGCAACCCAGCTCATCTGATGTAATATTTTCTTTTTTGTTTGTTTGTTTTGTTTTGTTTTTTGAGACGAAGTTTCCCAGTAACCCCACCTGGCCTAGAACTTGCTATGGGGACCAGGCTGGCCTTGATCTCACAGAGATCTGCCTGCCTTTGCCTCCCAAGTGTTGGGACTAAAGACCTGCACCATCATGCCAGCTCTGATGCAATATTTTTTTGTCTAAATAACTTTTTTTAGTTTATTATTTATTTAATAACCACATACTTAGAAGAAGCATTTAATTACAACAGCATTGACATATTCAATAACAATTTTCTGAGCTAAGAAACATCTCTTTCAAAACTGGCTCTAAATTTTTAGGTTTATAGTTGAATTAATACAGTTATACCATATTGTACTCAGTATAAACCCTGTAAGACATAAAATTAAATAAGGTTTTAACCTTTAAAAAAGATCTCCATTTCATTATTAAAATACAGAGTTTCATGCAGAAAACATTTTTAATGCAATTGACATTAAGATGTTTGCACATGCATTTCTAATCTCTATATATCTGATATTACTAGTCACAGTTGGTTACTATCTGAGCTCCTTGGCATCTGAGCATGGATATAAAGTCATCAGGTAGATTTCA